TGTCTATCCTGACGCTCTCTTGCCTTCGCCCGAGTGGCGACAAGGTCCTTAATGAGTTGGTCTCTGAAATAGTAGTTTCTTTCGAAGTCTCGGATAATTGAGATGGTAGTGTCTGTAGTAGCGAGAAGTTTCCGAACTCGAATTACAGTCTCCCTGTTTTGATCCCCGATGTTCGCGATCTGCCGGGTCTTCGTCGGGAGGGCTCTGTCAGTCGGTCCCCCGTGGTTGAGGTCATAGCAACCTCGTTGGTCTCCAAATGGTGATCGCTGTCGTTGCTGTCGACTCCAACTCTCGATCACGGTTTCCCAACGGGGCACATGTCCCATGTAGTCGAAACGGTTCGCGGGAACCCTGGCTATGTACGGAGGGTTTATCACCTCCGGTTTCTCTTTGGGTTCTTCTCCTAACCATCCACCATTTCCCTGGTTGGGAAAGTAGGGGTCGCCTGGTAAGTATAATCTTGCCATAATGTCCGTGCGAGAATAGGGGTGAGGTAAGAGGCATATAATAATCATATTCCTAGAATACTTATAGGGGTTTGATCCTCCTTAGTTACTTCGATGATGACATGGTGCATACCAGTTACATGTAACACAAGATATGATAGACCTTCGAATAAGTGATCATACTCCAAAACCACAACAAAACAAGGAACATGAAGTAATGCATTGATCACAGATTCTAAGTCTATGATATCCAAGTTATATATAACTTTAGCGTATCCACTTAGTGATTGTAGATCTACTATCAAGAATTTGTTTAGTTTTTTACGTAAGTTATAGTACCACAAAATACTCCTATAGTGTTTTAAATGTTATGTTTGGTTTGTAACGGTTTTCTTGTTTGGGAAGTTTTTAGGTTTGTTGCTAACTACGACCATTCCCCGACATACATCAATCACACCTCGGATAAATATAGTTGATCAGGCTATATCCGTCCCAAGTCTGATTACATATCCCAGGGCCTACCCGTGGTGTCCAACTCCTCGTTTTACTTTCGTATTGTCCTAGATATGATACTATAATAGTATGTGTGCATGTATTTATACTTTTTGACCAGAAACTATTTCATTTCTAAAAGTATAGTTATTTGAAAATGTTAAATCAGAGACCTTAGTCCCAATGTATTTATAGTTTGTATATCTTATGTGGTTCGAGATACTTAGTTCACTATAAACAATGCTCTAATACCAATCTGTCACACCCCCAAACCAAGGATGGCAGAAACGTCCGGGGGTGGCGGACTTCATGTATAGTATCACAACAACGAGTATAATAGTGCTCAAAGTAAATACAACCAATCATAAATATAATCAGAAAAGAATTACATAATTTCAAGTGTTACATATTTCAATGATTGATTTCAACATGATATATATAAATAGTTGTTCAACGCCGTAGCGTTCCATCCTCAAAAGCTTGTGGTTACCTGGTTTCGTTGATTTCCTGAGAATACAAGTAGTTTTGAAAAAGTGTCAACAATTAAGTTGGTGAGTTCATAAGCTTTTTAGATGAAGAGTTTGGAAACCGATCTTTGTAATGAGTTGCGTGTTACCAAAAAAAATCCAATATTTTCCTTACAAAAGTGATGTGTAGTCTTTAAATCCAAGACTGGAAGTGTACAGTAATATCCATACTTATTGATATAAAAAGTGATTTTAAATCGACATAAAACCCTTTTTGATTTGTGAAAATCCTCGTAAAAGTTATGTGTTGTTAACTCCCTATGTGAGTCGCTATAACCATACTATGACCAATGAACCTAACACGACGTTTCTCAGGTGTCGAAAAAGATAATGACACTTGTCACCCCAGACCTGCCGGTCTAGCTGTTGCATGCAGCTCAGGTGTGGTTTGTCAAACCAATATAGATCTATACACAACTATCACGTTCTCCCTACAAGAGACTCTGGTTATAACTACTAGAAATTTTAACCCGTACTCTAGGAGTACTAAGAAGAATGTCTCACAATTTACGTTAACAAGTTTACGTGTAGTGTGCGTGAATGTAAAACCTTTTTATGTGGGAATAAAACCTTCCGAAATGTGGTTGTTGTGTTAGTGGAAACATAAACTATACCTATTATAGCTTATCAAAACGTTTTATAATGGTTGAAATCCTCTTTGTATATGATGTAAAACTTTATAATGAGGTAAATAACATGTAATATAACCAACATGTATTTATATATGATAATACACACCTTGCCTAGCAAATTACAAGGTATAGTTATTAACAATTTGCTAGTTTTATCACTTCCGTTTCTGTTCTTGGAATAATTATAGAAAAATCATACGGAGTCGGAAAATGGATCCGTAAACTCTGAGAGTTTAGAAAAGGTGTCTAGTTTGTTCATAAATTTTATTATGATTTTTAGAAGTCTCTAACTGGTGTGAAAACGTTCATATTCACAGACTGGTCCGAATTCGTAGCTACAGTGATAGGCAGTTTTGTAAAAATAACCAAACATTGTAGAAACATCGTGTGAATATGTGCAAGTAGTCATTTTAAAGGTATAAACCTGAACTATTTGCATCTAATACAGTTTTAAAAACTAAAAATTTTAAGATGTTCAAAACAGTTCGTGAATGAACATTAACGTTTCTGTTGAGAGCTGATGTTTGAGTTTAGTTGTGTTCTTGGTGTTTTAACTTGTATTCCCCCCCTTAAAACTTAAGAAAAACATGAAAATATAGGGGTATGAACTCACCTTGAATGATCTCTTAGGATGGATGATGGAGAAAAGGAGTTTCCATGTCAAGAACACTTGGGAGATGCTTGAAGATTTGAAGGTTCTATGAACAAATATGATGATATTTGTGTAAGCAATCCATAATTTGGAGGAAGGATAGTAGAATATTTATGTGTAGGAGGAAGATACTTACCAAATGTGGAGGAAAAACCCAAGATCTGCCTTTGAATCTCGAATTTTAGAGAGAGAAAGTGAGAGAGATGTGTTTGTTCTTCATGAGAAAGAGTGAATAAAGTGGGAGGAGAGATAAGGATTTTTCCCATCTTTAAGTATCGAACCTTGCTGGAGAGAGGTGGTGAAAGGACAATTAGTTGACTAGGGCTGATGGCAATAGTGACATAAAGCATGAATAGTGACCTGGAGTGGGTATGAGCGGTTGCTTGTGTCATAACTTTATGGCAAAGTCAACACTCTATCACCAAATCTTACCCACTTGATATTATTCTTAGACTAAGATTTTCCCCCAAAAATGATTCAAATATGAATATTTAGGGTCTTATATGTCAAAATATAATTTTGGGTGAAAATCCCGCGTTAAAATCACGAAACGGACTTAAAAGGCAAAAGTGGTCGAAAACCGGGAAAATAGAAGCGAATATGCGAAAATCCGAAGTCTGGACGAAGGTTAGGTTCTTAGGAGGTGAGGACCGAAGGTAGAGAGGAGGAACCGAAGGTGAGGCTCGCGTTTCGGATGAGAACCGAGAGGGGGGTTCGGTCCGAGCACTTCGCATGCGAACACGGGAAAGGAAGCGAAATAGACCGAGGCTCGGTCCTAAAGGTAGTTTCGGTTTTGGCAGGTTCGGTCCCTATGGTTCGGTTCTTAACCTAGTTTCGGTTCCTATAGGGGCTTCGGTTCTAATTAGGGTTTCGGTCCTTAAGGGATGTTTTTCAAGTTTTCTTCCCGTTTTGAGTGATTTTTTGGCCAAGTTAAGGGTCGGGATGACCCGGTGACTATAAAAAGTTGAGAGAGATTTTGAGAGAGATTTGGGAGAGATTTGAGACAGATTTGAGAGAGAGAGATTTATAAATAGATATTGAGAGAGACTTTTTTTGTGACCTTTTTGGATGTTTAGCTTCGCAACGCAGGGTTCGTACATCCCGTTAAGCTTTGTTATGATGGTTATATGCCCTCGAGGGGTACGGAATAACGTTTTATCGAATAGTTTCATCACTTACTCCGATTAGGGTTTAGAATCTCTGAACGAGTGAACTTTCCAAGTGATAGCTTCTTATTAAAATAGTGAGTTGTACGATAGTAACATAATGTAAACCCTAATATACAAGGGTTAGATGAGTTGACCGGTTTGACCTGTTGGCTTTATTTGACTTTGACTTGATCAGAAATTGACGGTTGTCACATAAAATAAGACCGAAAGTTGGATGAAGTACTTGTGAGACCGATGTGGCCTGTTGAACAAGTAGGTTTGATAAAATATTCAGTAACTGGATGGATTTTAGAAATCTCAAAAAAAAAATTGGATCTTATGGGAAGAAACGTCCTGGTGTTAGATAGTTTCATAAAGATCATGCAAAAATAAAAAGAGATTTCGTGAGGTAACAAGTAATAGCTTGAACATTAGAGCGTCCACCGTCACGTGGTAAACGAAAATAAGATCATTAACACATAGCTTGTGTAACCTAAAACCTCAGTGGTAATTGCTGAGAGTCTCAAAGGTTACTTGTATGAAGCGAAACTTAATGGAGAAAAGTGAGAAGATGGAGAAGGAACCGAAAGGACCTATCACTACTACAAAAAGGCTTATAGAGCCCGGTTATATCCAATAAATAACCCGATTTTCAACCGGGTCCTATTGTCGGCGAGTCCTATGTGGAAAAAGAATTAAAACCCGGTTCCAAAACCGAGTCCTATCAAACTAAAAAGGATGCAGTTTTTTTAACAATCGGGACATATAAAGATATTGGAGTATACAAAACATGGGCACACAAGGAGATTTGGACACGATTCTACCATACAAAACCGAGTCATATAAGGAGATAAAACCCGGTTCCAATTCTCAAAACCGGGTTATATAACAATTACATATATATCGGTTCCATTATATTAACCGGGTCATTTAAGGAAAGATGACTTGTTTTAATATTTTTATTGTGAAAATAGCTAACAGGGCTTACATCCAAAATTACATTATGTTACAGTTAACCACCAACACAATTAAGACTTACATCGAAAACATATATTCAATACAAAAAAATATGCTCTGGTTAGCAAATTATGTTAATGTAGACATGCTAAATAACCAATCATTATTGCCATTAATATAAACGTGTTTGCCTGTCACAAAAAACAACTTGATTTGATCATATCTTACTACATAAAACTTGAAGTATAATTGTCACATAATCAAGTGTAGAAGCCGTCCTCCATTCTCACTGAAAAATAAACACAACAAAGAATCAATTTTTTGTCTAATATTTCAAAACAGGTGAGTTTAACAAACAATAATTAAACTAAAAGTAGGATGCTTTAATGATTAACAGCTAACCTTATATGTACTTTTAGACAACATCATTCATATAGTTATTCTGAAATTCCCTAGTTCTCTAATTTAGTATAAAATATTAAGTTACACTAATAAATAACATAACATGTTTCTTGACACAAAATAAATGAAAAAAAAAGTATTTAATAAGTACTTACTCTATTCGGGAATCCATATTGCCTGGTCATTACAAAATCAAACATTTATTTCATTACATAGTGCCCACTCAGCTGACTCTCGGATACGCCAACTTGGTTTCATTAAAATTATGACAGAAAGGAAACATAATCAAGACAAATGAAACTACAACATCTGATTGTTGGATAAGTAATAAGATAAATTACCTCAGCGAACATCCATACAATTGGAGTTGATGTGTTTTTTCATACCTCGCAAAAGCCCTAAAAATTAACAACCAATTGAGTTGTGTTCAAGTTTATAGAAAGAATGTAATTTTCATGCCTATTAAGAAATTTCTTACATGTCCAAAAGTTTGAGCAGGTAGCAGGTGTCGAGAGGATTTTTCTTAGGCTTCATGAGAGAATCCAAAATATATGTGACACGACTTGAAGGGCAAATCACCAAGAGGACCTAATGTATACTAATGATGTTTAGAAATTTTAGTATAAATGAACAAAATAAACAAATAACTAATAATATAGATAGAAACTTATGGTACTTTTGCAGGTACGATGCGACAAGAAACGATGTGAGACACATAGTTGAAAAAACATAAATCTTGTCAAACCAACTATAATGTACACATTTTATCAATAATGACAAAGATAAAGACCATTTTGATGAAATAATGGTACCAACTTGGATAAAATGCAAGAGGTTTGGTAGAGGTATGAATATATTCCCCTTGCACACGAATTGTGATGGCATCTATTTTTGAATCTCCGATGCTTGTGTGGTCCAGAACAAAAGAAAAAGAATACATAATAGATAAAGAATGCATCTTGCTAACGAATTTGAAGTTTCTCCCTAGAGTCAAAAGGGTATATATGTCCAAAAAGTTTGGTGGTTAGACAAGTAAACAACAAGATAATCTTATGGGGGTGGATTCTTGGAACCTTGAAATTTCAGTCTAAAAAATGGAGTGATTGTCATAGAAGCCCAAAGTTTAGCAACAAAATAATGAAACTTGTTTTGGTATCGATCCCTTAATAGCACAAATGGATGTGCCATTATCATGGCCATAAACACAAATATGTCAATAAATGATGTCATACTTTAAAGCATATTCCTCTGATTTCTTTTTTCCTCTAATTTTTTAGCCCAAATTGAATTTTGCACTTAAAATATAAAACAATTGGGTAGATATAAAATATTAAAATTATAAAGAAATAAAACTCATATAAATTAAGAAATTAGGATGATTATAACGTGATAATTGATATTATAATGAAGCTCCAGGTGAACCAGTTCAAACAATTTCAGATCTATTGATTTCCATCTTTTCTCCTGGATATACCATTTATATTGATTATACATGCCAATTAATCTTTTTTATGGGTGAAAAAAGGATTGAAATGTGGAGGGGTATTTTTGTCAACTAAAGATAACAAAGTTTAGAATACCATATGCATTAAATATAGCAGGAACCTGGTTATATAATTTAAAAATGTCACAAAACCATCACTGAAAGATCACTTACTAGATACACTGTGCTTCCTCACCAGTTCTTTACACGGAGAGCAAAAAGTCCCTTTAAGAGCTGATATCAACAAATTTTAATTTTTTTGTCAGTATCAAGTTATGGAGAGTAAGATTTTGTATAAGTTGTAAAAATATGACAAATTTGGTTGCCATTTTTGACCTCTAACATAAACACACACAAAAACATATTTTTTCAAAAGAAAAAAGTTATACAGATTGATGTAGAGAGGGAAATATCGATACCCAAATCCATATTTATTGCTCAACGTAGCGTTGATTGTTGTCGTCGATAATCAACACACTCGAAGCTATACTAATCAATGGAAATAAGAAAAAAATATACCAATTAATAGACATACAAAGTAAAACAGCAATAGAAATGTGGAGTCGTATAGACGATCTAATAATGCTACACGGGCAATGATTTGGCGACCTAGCTAGCGAGACGAGGAATAAGATAAGGTTAATCTAGGAGAGGAGAAGTGTTTGAAACACCGATGTGATGGTCGGCACGATGAACTGGACTCGTCGGTTGAGGCACGGGAGAAGGGTTTGAGGCGACGATGCGGTGGTCAAAGTCGTCGGTTGCTGAAGTGGACTGGAGAAGAAGAGGGCTAAGGAGTACGTACTGGTGTGGGTTCTAATTGATTGGACCCCAAAATTGTTGGCGGGATATTGAATTTTCATGGCGGGATATCCAAAATTTTACCTCAAAATCACTGCCCAAAGCCATAGAACATGGTTTCATTTGGAAAACTGGGTCTTATAACTTTACAGCTAAAAGAGCCGGCTGTATCATTAGAAACCGGGTTGTTTAGTTCACTCATATATCCCAGTTCCTCATCTTAAACCGGGTCATATAACTCTCCCCTTTATAAATCCCGGTTGTTCCATAATATGTCCCGTTTTTTTCATAAACCGGGTCTTATATGGCGAGTCCTATGTCATGTTTTGTAGTAGTGTATGCTATATAAAAATGACAAAGCAGAAAACTCGTTACTCACTATGAGAAGAGTAAGGTAGCTCGTGACTTGAGTGATTTTAGCAGTCTGATTGGGAAGAAACGATTGGTGTTTATCGAATCATTAAGGCTTCACTCAGAGTCATGGAGACTTTGGTCTACATGCAGCAGCATGCTTCTAGGGACACTTAACTAGTACATAGATAAGAATGTTATACCTGCCCCATCATCATTATGTTTCGCATCTCTGAGCTTGAATTACGAATTGAGAGATAGAACTTAAAAACACACAGAGATATTTTTGTAGTTTTTGGATAAGAATAACAGAAGAGAAAAAATATTTTTAGATTTTTGGTATTTCTGAAAAATAATAAAACAGAAGAAAAATATATTTTGATTTTTGTAATTTCTGAAAAAATAATAAAAACAGAAGAAAAAAATATTTTTGATTTTTTTGTAATTGCTGAAAAAATAATAAAAACAGAAAAAAAATATATTTGGATTTTTGTAATTTCTGAAAAAATAATAAAAATAGAAAAGAAAATAAATACTATCGACAAACACACGAACGTGTAAATAAAAGCTTTACAAATATATACAACCGAAACCATACCTTAGAAAAGATGAAGTGAAATGGGCCGAACGTTCGGTTCATTTCGGTTCCTGAAGAATTCTAGAGCCGAAATAGACTGAGCGTTCGGTTCATTTCGGTTCCCGAAAATTTCTAGAGCCGAAATAGACCAAGCGTTCGGTTCATTTCGGTTCCCGAAAATTTCTAGAGCCGAAATAGACCAAGCGTTCGGTTCATTTCGGTTCCCGAAAATTTCTAGAGCCGAAATAGACCGAGCGTTCGGTTCCCGAAAAATTCTAGAACCGAAATAGACCGAGCGTTCGCTCTATTTCGCTTGTACATTTTTAGTGAGAAGAAAGGGGTTTCGGTACTGACTCAGCTTCCATCATTCCCAAGCCTTGGAGTATTTTGTTAAAGCTTGCTTCTGGTAAGGCCTTAGTGAAGATGTCAGCCAGTTGATCTGAGGACCGAACGAAGTGAACTTCAAAATTTCCATCTTCAACGTGGTCCTTGATGAAGTGGTATCTCAGTGCAATATGCTTAGTCTTGGAATGTTGCACTGGATTGCGACATATTCGAATCGCACTTTCAGAGTCACAATAAAGAGGAATCTTTTTCATGCTTAAGCCATAATTTCTAAGTTGGCTTTGTATCCATATAACTTGTGATGTACAGGATGTTGCAGCGATGTACTCAGCTTCGGCTGTGGAAAGAGACACGCAAGTTTGTTTCTTTGACTGCCAGCTGACGAGTTTGCCATCAAGGAACTGGCATCCGCCGGTTGTGCTCTTTCGGTCCAATCCACGTCCACCAAGATCAGCGTCAGAGAAAGCTTGAACAAAGAAGCCTGATTTTGCAGGATACCAAAGACCGAGAGACGAGGTTCGCTTCAAATACCGGAAGATATTTTTCACTGCAATCATATGAGGTTCTCTTGGATTTGCTTGAAACCTAGCACAATAACAGACAAAAAAACATTATGTTCGGTCTACTAGCCGTTAGATACATTAGTGACCCTATCATTTGACGATAGAGAGTCACATCAACAGCCGGTTTCTCAAGAGATTGAGTCAGCTTCGTGCCAAATGCCATTGGAACCTTTACTTTGGAATCTCCCGTTATGCCGAACTTTGCCAACAGAGTCTTCGTGTATGCCTCCTGATTAATGAAGATGCCTTCTGGTCCCTGTCTTATATTCAGTCCAAGGAAAAAGTTAATCGGACCCATTGCCCTCATTTCAAATTTAGTCTCCATCAACTTCCTGAATTCAGCTGTTAAGCTAGGATTCGTGGAGCCGAAGATGATGTCAACGACGTAAATTTGAACTATCATTAAGTGTTCACCTTCTTTCTTGCGAAAGAAGGTTGGGTCGACCGAACCTTGTTTGAATTTAGACATTTTGAGAAATCGTGTTAGAGTTTCATACCAGGCTCTCGGGGCTTGCTTCAATCCATAGACTCCTTTATCAAGTATGTAGCAGTGATCAGGATACTTCTCGTTCACAAATCCGGGTGGTTGCTCAACGTATACCGTTTCTTCTAGTTCTCCATTCAAGAAAGCACATTTTACATCCATTTGGGAAACTTCGAAGTTTTTATGTGCAGCATATGCCAGAAAGATTCTTACTGATTCCAACCTTGCTACAGGAGCGAAGGTCTCTTCATAGTCTATGCCTTCTTCCTGACAGTATCCCTTCACCACCAGCCTCGCTTTGTTTCGAATGACGTTACCCTCTTTATCCAACTTATTTCTGAAAACCCATTTTAAACCGACTACTGATACATCCTTTGGTGTGGGAATCAGCCTCCAAACCCGATTTCGTTCAAACTCATGGAGTTCGTCTTGCATTGCTTGCACCCAATCAGAGTGATCAAGAGTAGCATTTACCGTCTTCGGTTCGACTTTAGAAACAAACGAATTAAACATGCGGAATTCTACTTGAGAGAATAGAGCAGTTTGCTTCGCTTTCATTTGGGAGTGTGTGAGAACACCCTCAGATGATTCACCAATTATTTGAGTTTTAGGATGATCCTTTGTCCATTTAATGAGAGGAGGGTAATTTGGATTTTCGTTCAGCTTTGCCTTCTTCCACCAGTTCTGACAGATTGCCTTCGTCATTTGCATTTTCGTTCTCCCCCTCAAACGGCGAACCGAATCCTATGTCAGATTCAATAGTCTCCCCTTCAGATGGATCATCATGGGTTTGGGTTTTTGATGGATTCTCCCGCTGGAAAGGCATGTCGGATGTTTTTGGTGTAGACGGACCCTCCCCCTGGAATATAGTACTTTCTCTTGGAGGGTCATTAGTGGCTGGATGATCACCTGATACAGTAGGTTCGCTTTGTGTCTGCTTCTTGGTTGGTTGTTGAGGTTCGCTTTCCATGTCTTTAGCAGCTTCATCGATGATTTTCTTCAAGGTATTGATTTTGTTATCTGCTGCTTTTGCTTCTGAGTGGATCGCCTTCTCTGTTTCATCAAAGAGCAGCGTATACTCTTCAAACAAATTGGAAATGGGAATTGAGACTTTACCTGATTCCGGAAAGATTTCTTTTGTTGAACCTTCGCTTGCTTGAATCTTCTTCATGTAATTATCATCAAAAGTTACATAGTAGGTTTCTTCAATTTTCCTTGAGGGTTTATTGAGAACCCTATATGCTTTTGAGGTAAGTAAATAGCTAAGAAAGATCCCTTCGTCTGTCTTAACATCAAATTTGTTTCGGTTCTCTTTGGAGTTGAATATGAAGCATCTTGAACCGAACACGTGGAAAAACTTTACATTGGGCTTGCGATTGTTCAAAATCTCGTATGGAGTGATGGAAAATTGCTTGTTAAGGAAGGACCGATTTTGTGTGTAACATGCAGCAGCTATAGAATCTGCCCAGAAGTATAATGCAAGGGAAGCGAAACTCAGCATGGTTCGGGTGGCTTCACACAGTGAACGGTTTCGCCTTTCAACGATCGCATTCTGTTGTGGAGTATAAGGAGCAGAGAAGTTATGAGTTACTCCCTTTTCAGCCAGAAACTCTTCAAAGTCTTTATTTTTGAACTCCAGACCGTTATCGCTTCTTATATTTCTTACCACCTTTCGCAGCTTCAATTCCACCTGCTTGATAAAAACCTTCAGCTTGGGAGTCGCCTCAGATTTCTGTTTAAGAAAGAAAACCCATGTGAAGCGTGAAAAATCAACTACAATTACAAGTATAAACTTACTACCACCGATGCTTTCGATAGCCGAAGGACCACATAGGTCGATGTGCAGTAGTTCAAGAGGTTCGATGATTTTTGTATTGATACGAGAAGGGTGACTCTTTTTGCTTTGCTTGCTCATCTCGCATGCTGTGCACAGGCGTTCTTTGTCAAATTTGAGAACAGGAAGTCCACGCACGTGATCACCAAGCATCAGTTTATTAATATCTTTGAAGTTCAGATGTGATAGTGTTCGATGCCACAACCAACTTTCATCTGAGTTCGCCTTCGACAGTAAGCATATTGCCGGATTTCCCTTTATCAGGTTGAGATTTAGAGGATGCATCTCCCCTTTGCTCTCAGATTTCAACAAAACTTTCTTTGTTTGCTTTTCAACTATTTCTGATCCCTCATCATCGAACGAGACTTTCAAACCGGTTCCCACGACTAGTTGAGAAACACTGATGAGGTTGTGCTGCAATCCTTCCATGTATGCAACTTTTCGTATTGAGAATTCTCCGTTGGTGATCATCCCATACCCTTTGATCGTGTCGTATGAGTTGTTTCCATATTTAACACATCCACCATCCTTAAGGGACCGAAACTCCCTAAGCTCTTCCCTCCTTCCTGTCATGTGACGAGGGCAGCCACTATCAATATACCATTCTTCATCAAACTGCTCGTCACTAATAACCTGCAAAATTAAGCAGATTTAGGAACCCAAAGTCTCTTGGTCCCTGGTGAGTCTTTTACAGAATAGGGAATTGCTACCGAAAGATCAACCAAATACGTTCTTTTTATTAAAGCGGTTTCATCTTTTCGTTGGATGGTGTAAACATTAATTTTATTTTTATCTGGTTTTAACTGGGGTGTGTTATTGTTAGATGGTTTCTCATCTGAGGTTTTCTTTGGAATCCTAGAGTTAGCTGACTTTTTGGTATTTTGGACTTCAGAATCTGAGACGAGCTTTCCTTTCCCTTTTATATCCTTTACAGAGTTAGGTTTTGGTTGGGAGTTAGGATTATGAGGT